GCGCGCCCGCGCCCTAGGGAGCGAGAGCCCGACACCCCCTCCCCCTCTGCACACGCGCGATCCCCCCTCCCACATACACACACACACACACACACACACATACACATACACATATATATATATATATATATATATATATATATATATATAAGGGTTTGTTTGAGCCATTTTCAGTCAATTTTCTAGAAACGATCTACTAAATACTCAATGAAAAATCGACTAATTTATTTTATTTAAGTTGATTGATTTTAAAATAGTTGATTGGATCATTTGAAATTAATTGATCGATTCAGTCAAAATTAACCGACTAACAAAATGAATTAATTATTTACTGACTAATTATTTATTTAGTTAGTAAGATGTTGGTTTCTTTAGATTAGATCATGTACTGCAAATCTCTTAAATTATGGTACTATATGCAATATGTCTATAAAAACTTTTAATTATCAAAATGGGCAAATTGCACATCACCTCCTAGAAAATTCTAATTTTCGTGCTTTACCCTCTCGATTTTTTTTTTAAAAAGTGGATGTTCATCTTTAAAATGTTAGTCTTGTTGCACATTACCCCGATAATAAAACTCCGATGAATTATTTATCGGAATTGAGTATTTTGTTGCACGTTACCCCTTCAAATATTATTTTTGTTGCAAACACAGTCCCTTAAAAACACTACTTTTTTTGCAAGTTGCATCTTTAAAATATTATTTTTACTCCACAATTAAGAATTAACTTATTGAGCAAAGTGCAACCAAAATAATATTTCGAATGATGAATATATTCCTTTTTAGAAGTTTTAGGGGGAAAAGTGCATGGAAAATTTATAGTGGGTAAAGTGCATTTTGTCGTAACAAAATTTACTAATATCCAGTTGTAATGGTAAAATAGTGTTTTCTTTGTAGGTTAGTTCAGTAAATGCAAATCTTTTTAAAAAAAATTATTTAAAAGTTAAAACAAGTAAATTATTTTGTTTACTCATAAAAAAAAATTATTTTGTCATATATTTAATTTAAATTAATTTAATGAGAGATGAAGGAAATAAATGCAAAGGCAAGGAATAAAATAAACAAAAAATAATATATTAATGACTGAAAAGTTTGACTGGTTTGGACTGTTACTTTTCTTCTTTCAAAATCTGATATCCTCTCTCTCTCTCTCTCTCTCCTCTTTCCTCCCCATTTCTTCCCTTTCCTAATCTCTCTCTCTCCTCTCTCTCTCTCTACCCCTCAGGCAAGAAATTATTGAATCTTTAGTGTGTGGGAAAGTGAAATGGGAAGTAGTGGTGGTGGAGGATATGGAGATGCGAGCCAGAAGATAGACTACGTGTTCAAGGTGGTGCTGATCGGTGACTCGGCGGTGGGCAAGTCACAAATACTCTCCCGTTTCGCGCGTAACGAGTTCAGCCTTGATTCCAAAGCTACCATCGGCGTTGAATTCCAGACCCGGACTATGGTTATTCACCACAAGTCCGTTAAAGCTCAGATCTGGGACACCGCCGGCCAAGAAAGGTCTCTCTCTCTCTCTCTCTCTCTCTCTCTCTCTCTCTCTCTCTCTCTCTCTCTCTCTCTCTCTCTCTCTCTCTCTCTCTCTCTCTCTCTCTCTCTCTCTCTCTCTCTCTCTCTCTCTCTCTCTCTCTCTCTCTCTCTCTGTCTCTCTCTCTCTCTCTCTCTCCATGTGTGTGTGAACATGATTGCTTGAATGAGGCGAAATTTTGATTGGGGGTTTTAGTTGTGTTTTTGAAATATTTGGAGTGGAGTATTTGTAGTTGATCTTTGTTGGATCCATGATTTTTTTTTGTGGGTTTAGCTTGTGTGTTTTTAGCCGATGAAAAACTCGATGCGTCTAGCCTTCGTAGAATCGAATACACGAACTGAGAATTCGATGTTGGATTTGGGGGAGCACGTAGTCTTGGT